CGGGTCGGGTTGTTTCAAAACGAGCCATGGATATCAAACCAGGTAAACCTATGCATGGTTTCTTTGTCTTTTATTTTTTTTAGTCTCGAACACCCACTCAGTGTATCTCTGTTTATTTCTATGGTTATTTCACTTTGTTGTTCGATGGCAAGTTAACCAAACAGTTGTTCTACTTCCCATGTTTGTTTAGGTTACTAAACAATCCGTCCAGCAGTATGTAGCAAATTGACTAAATTATTCAAATTTTCCATTATATCAGTTTACAATATCGAAAAAATTCATTTTTCTATAGTTTTCTAATTTGCTACTGACCTTTATCTTTGATAGGCGGATAAAGAGTTACAAGTGAATAGAGAACAAAATTTAGCATCAAAGCACGCAATTATACATACTATAGAACACATATGTTTGATGCTCYACCACATTAAATATRGCTGCACAAACCTTCARGATCACAACTTTCAGATCTAGCATTGAATATATATATACCAAATACCATGTATGCTTGGATGATAGGATGCTGAAATTCGSAGAGCCGAAAGAGTTACACAACGAGACTACGAGAGTTAAAGTACTACAAGCTGAAATATGTTTAGTTTAGGGATGCATGAGTTTTATACACAATTAACTCGAGAACTTGAGAAGCCGAAGGAGGAATAACAAGTTAGTGTACTGTTTTCTTGTAAGTAATGATTTGTACCAATGTTTGAATAGCTCAACGTTCAAGAACATTCATAATAATAACAATGATCGGAATTAACACAAATTAGGGTATGATTTCTAATCATTATTACAAATACATATTAACACATTTTGGTATTGGGGTGTTGGTTCTTAACAACAAGTAAGATCCAACAGAGAGAGAAAAGTAGATGCGAAGAACAACAAGACTAACGATGAGGCTGACCTTCAAAGACATGAGCATGAAGCAACAACCGAAGAGGGGGAAAGATTTGCGGCTAAGAGCAACTAATAATAATAAAGAAAATCCTGTAATCTTTTGGAAATCA